AGAGTTAACAAGAAGCCTGACCTAATGGGCCAATCAGTTTATAACCTAATGTAGACTCCGTGTGATTTTCCTTGGGACTTGCTGGCTTGTTGGGGTACTGGGCGGGACAGAAACCCCAACAAGCCGGCCCTCGTGTTACAATCCGATACTGCTGACTTCTTTGCAAATGACAGCCAGTTAGGCAGCTTCTCAGAGAAATGAAAAGTACTTAGAGATGGCAGCTCCCATTGCCCACTGTCCCAGAGCAGCAGCAATTTCTTCAATAGCTTCTGGGTTAGGGCAAAATGCAGGAATAGGGAAATGGGCTCCAGGCAATCACTGGGAAGACAGCTACGGGCAGCCTATGCCAACTCCTATCAGGAATCAAGTCTCAGTGGTAAACTTCAAACCCAGTTTAAAAGCATACAGCTCTCCATGCACTGCCCTGCAGCTGGAGGCTCCATTTCTGTGGTTATGTGACCCTAAACATGAACCTGACATCCTCATCCCCTCCCCCAGGCTTTGTCATCACTAGCCTTCTAGACTAGCACTGGAGAAGTCAATCCTGAGGCCCAAACTAGGGGAGGACTTGTCCTCGACAGTGACATCAAGGAAGTCCAACAGAGTAGCTTCTGAAAAACCTGCTGAAGTCATGGGTGTCCCTACTGATGGGGCCTCAATATGTCCTTCAGTGAGATGGGCTGGCACATGACTGACTGCTCCTTCTTAAGTGGATTCACAGCAAGCAGCTGTGGAGGAAGGAGCTAGGTCAAGGGGACTTGATGGTTTTATTTTGAAGTGACTTCAGCAGATATAAAAGCCCATGAGTTCTGTCTCCATGCAACAACAAACTATTTCTTTTTTTTTATATTTATTTATTATGTATACAATATTCTGTCTGTGTGTATGTCTGCAGGCCAGAAGAGGGCATTACAGATGGTTGTGAGCCACCATGTGGTTGCCGGGAAAAGAACTCAGGACCTTTGGAAGAGCAGGCAATGCTTTTAACCACTGAGCCATCTCTCCAGCCCAACAAACTATTTCTTAAGTCACTTTTTGGTATTGCTTTGTATACCAGGAGAAAAAAATATATGCAAAAGCAGAAATGACCTTGCCTACTTATGAGAGAAACAAAGTATCAAAGCAGGGCTCCCTTACAGCTAAGATGGAAAATCCAGTCAGGAATTAAGGGGCTGTGAAGACAGCCTCACTGCTTTCAGTCCTAATGTCCAGCTGTGCCATCCCAATTACTCTAACTCTGAAAAATTGATGCTGTAAAATGTGTGCAAAGTTGCTGAGCTACAGTTACTATGGGAACAGCTCCCATCACAGTACCACAGAAACAGACACATCCCACAGACTGGCCACCACCCTTCCACTGTCTCTGTGGAGAAGGTTTGTGCATTCCTAACACTGTCCTACTTAACTGCACCAGGCCTGCTTCCCTCCTCTTCCTCCAGGCTGGCCAATTCACTGCTCTAAGGCTCAGGTGGCTGCTCCCAGCTGCCACGCGACGTTGGCAGGATCCCTGTCCTCCACATTAAGAGGCAGAATTTGATGTCCCAATCACTACAGCAAAGGATCAATCAAGATACAACAATGACAAGGGATACTAGGTCAGAAAGTTTTCTGTAGCATAAGGTTGGCTCTGTGGGAATCAGGAGAAGCCCAAGAGATTACCTTCTTCTTGATGCCATCTTGAATGACCGTTGTCCGATACAATCTCAAGAGACCCTCCTCAGATAGGTTCCGCACCAAGCGGATAATGGACTTCTTACAGCACTTGGTGGAGACACCCTCTTGCTTCTCCTGGTCCATGATCATCTTCTGAATCCTGGATATTAGAGAAGGTCACATTCCCATTTCAACATGCAGAGACACGGAGAAGTCACAACAGGTCTGTTGGGAACCAGGAAAACTCTGTGGGAGCTCTTCACATGCTACATAGGGGAGCCTCTTAGAACATGAAATTCTATCTTTTTAGAGTAAACAAACTAGTTGAAGTCAGATCACTACCCACAGCAGCTCCACAGCACCAGAGATCACATGATCTGACCATGAAAAGGAACAAGGGAAGGGAAACAGTACTAGAATGAAAACTGTCTTTGCCAAGGCTGCATGCTTACTGGGCGCTAGCTAGGCCAACCTTCTAGTTTCCCACTGTTCGTTTGGTCTGAAGCTCTTTTTCACTCTTCTACTCATCTCTCTCAATCTTCTGATTCACTGTGACATTTCCAGATACTAATCACAGTAGAGCAAGGCCAATATGGACATCAGGATGCCCAGATAAACTTCTCAGGGCACAGAAGGGATCAAGGTGAAGATCTAGCTTATGAGGTCCCTGTCCCCAGTCAGCCAGAGACGGAGTAAAGACCCCACATCTGTGACCCTGAAGATGCTGACCCCCCAGAGTGGTGGCTTCAAGAGCTGCAAAGACCAGCCCTTCTTTCCTTAGCACACAGCCCCGCCTGCGCCTCTTGCTACGCCACTGCCTGCAGGTTTCTCAGTTTTCCTTCCCTTGTAACAATTCCCCAGTGTAATAGGGTTTGAATGAGACATGCCACCTATAACTCATGGGTTCAAAGACTTGGACCAGGAAAGTGGTGATACTGGGAGGTTCTGGAAACTTTGTAAGATGAGGTCTGGCTGGAAGTAGGTCACTGGAGATAGACCTTGCCCTCTCTGCTTCTTGGCTGTCAGGAGGTGAAGAAGCTCTTGGCTACAAATTCCTGCCACCACACACATGGAGCCAAGAGACCAGAGAACCCCTGAGCCAAAATAAATCTTCCTTCAAGTTATACTCACATACCTGTCATGGTCACACAAAAGTAACTCACTCAGGTACAGAGAGAAGTCAGTGCATGCCCCGTGGCATCTAGTATTTTAATTCTCAAGGTCTACCTTCCCCAACAGCAGGAACAAAATCTACACCAACTGACCACAATGGGACACCATAAAATGCACATGGTGAAGCAGCAGTCCCAAGGCCTTTCAGTCCCTTCTCTGGCTGGTAAAGAGGGCAGTGACAGAGACACTGGCACACTTACGTGAACAGGCTCTCAATCAGGCGGAGGTTGGTGACAGCTTCTATGATCAGATTCCTGCGCTTCAGCAGTCGGTATGTTTTGTGAGGCTTGTCCTGGCCTGGGCCATGCCGTCCGCCTTTCTGGGAGCCACCACTCTCCTACATAACGAAAACCCAGGACCAGGGGTCAGAAAGGGTAGGACCAGATAGACATCACACCTGAGGGGCACACTCCCCTTTCTAAGTCAGGTCCTGTTATTCAAGGAGAATCCACCTGGTCAGCTCCCTGCATAGAGCCCACCACCTTCTCAGAGGTACCTGCCAGCTGATGATCCTAGGTGACTTTGGGATCAGCTAGAGCAGGAGTTGGGCATCACCTATGATACCTCTAAAAGCAGACAGTACCTTCATGTCTACCTGGCTTCTCCCCAGTGGGCAGGAAGAGCCCAGCACCCTTGTCGAGGCTGCTGTCAGGCCATGGAAAAGACCACCTTATCAAAAGTTATGGGAGTTTTGGGAGTGGGCCTAGCAAGCGGCAAAGGCAGCAAATGACACTGTGTTACTCCCTGTTATGGCCCACAGTCTGTGCCTGGCAGGTGACATTCTTATTGTTACCACCTGCTCCCGTCCCTGGGATTCAGGTCCAGAACCAAGAAGACTGGTGTCTATCTGCCATAAGCCCTATGGTCATTACTGACCTTGGGATTATCCAGCCGAACCTCCTCAATCACAGCAATGTCGCCACTGTGATTCTCCATGTTGTTAGGGTCGAAGGATGTATTGAGCTCAGAGGAACTGCTGGTGTTCAGGCCACCCCTAGCACGCGAGCTTCGGCGGGCTCTTTCCTCACCAGTGCCCAGGGAGGCAGCCTTTGGCTTTTTCAGTGGGTGCAGGTTTAGGACTTTCCACCCACCTACAATGAGAATGGGCACAGCTGGTCAGGGGAAAACAAAGGGCTTCTCTGCTTAGCAGTCAGAGCAGGCTAGCCTGGGGGCCCCCTCAGGCTCACTCTGCAGTCTTGGGGTACAAAGCTGAACATGAAATTCAATAGTCTATCAACTGTCTACCTTCCATACATGTTTTAAAGCAGGATTTCAAGCCATCCAAGGTTATGTACACCTGAAATCCCACCACTCAGGAGGCTGAGGCGGGAAGGGTGAGTTCTAAGAGGGTTACACAGTGAAGTTCAGTCTCAAACAAGAAAACAAAATACATTGGGTTATAATAGCTCAATTGGGAGGACATTTGAACACCTCTGCCTCCATAGCAGTGTTCTATAAACTAAACCCTAAGTGGTTCTTGAAAGGACTGAGGGAAGGAATGAAGCTCACAGAACTCTATCTCTTTAATAGTAAAACTATGCTGTAAAGAAGGTGTCATCCAAGGAGACTACACGTAACCAGGGCAGGGCACACTCACACGACTCCTCTCCACACCTGTGACCATGGTGTGAAAAGGACACTTCTAGGCCCCAAATGAGGGTGGGACCTAGGGGATCTCCAGGCTGGCTGGACTGAACAACTGTTTCTTGGTGATGTCCTGCAGTGTCAGGGTGCTTGGCCCTGCAGCCCCCATACACTTCAAGCAGTCCTTACCCTTAGCTGGAGTGGAGTGATGAGGCTGAGAGCCAGCAACCCCTGAGGCTCTTGAACGCCCCCGGGACCCTCTGCCTTTACGCTTGCCACTGCAGCTGCTCTCCTCCTCACTTTCTGAGTCAGAGAGGAAGGCCTCTTCACCCTCAGGCATGAGGGACTCATCTTGCACCGAGGCTAGGCTTACAGTGGTCAGTAGCTCTCCTCGGGCCTTTTCACGTGCATACTGCCGGCTCAGATCACTCTCCTCTGCAAACACGCAGGAAATGTACTTGGTGGTCCGTTGCCGGCCTTCATCTTCCATGAATCCCTAAGGTAATCACATGGGTTAGCGCATTCCAGGGGGTGTTAATGCTGACAGGTATGCAGGTGGTCCCAGTCTCACAATGCCTTCCTGACAGAGCCTGCATTATCTGGACAGTGTTTGCTCTCCGAAGCTAGGAGCCCTCTGTTGATAGATGTTGGTCTTCCATGCACTTCTGTGCCTGACACTGGACCTGGCTCATACACCCAATTAGGATTTGGCTTGTGCTGATTATACAGAACCCAGGGTCCTACACACTGCAGACACCCACAACCTTGGAGACCTGTAGTTTGGTTCTTCGCCAATCCATGATCATCTTGCCTTCTAAAATAGGAAAGAAGTTTGTCCCACGGCCTATAGTGGGAGAAAGTACAGACTTTCTATGTACCCTTCATGTGCCACGGATAGTGCCAAGGTCCCAGTTATACTTACCTTAACTAATAAAACCCTGCCTTATGAAAAAATTGTCCACAGTAGCCCACCAGAGGGTCTGGATAAGTATCCTCTAAAATCTGTGAGCCAAAGTTCAGTTCCCAGGGTGGAACTACTGGGAAGAGGCAGAACCTTTAGGACTCTACAGGAGGTTCCTGGTCACAGGGGAGCGCTCCCAAAGGAGTGTGTCTCCTCTCCACCTCCCACCCACCCTGACCATTTTCTGTCTTCCTTTGGGCTCAGGAAGTGACAGTTTATCCTACCAACATGTTCCTGTCACGAGGCGCTTGCTGTCTCATTACAGGTTCTCAAATGAGAACCACTTGATTTTGGACTAGACTCTCCAGAACATACCAAACAACCCTTCTCTTTGTAATTAACTGCCTTAGCTGCTTCACTGCCATTACAGGATGCTAACTAACAGCAGCTTTGAATCACAAAAGGGAACACTAGGCCTACAGTTAGCTGCTTTGATGTTTTGAGGTGCCAGGCAAGTCACAGCAGTGGGAGGACAGGCAGCTCATTAGACACTAGCCAGCTCCAGCTGACCGTCCTCACCCAGGAAGGAGCTGCAAGGGCAGCTGCTGTACTGTCACTCTCCAGCACTTCAATTTTAAGAAGCTGAACCAGACAGGCGCTCAGTGAGGGGGAGGCCTAGTATGCTAGTAGCTTCATACAGGTTCTGCCTCACGGACACAGTAAGGCCTCTGCTTCTCTGATGTGTAATTCTACCGGCACACGAGATGAGGAACTGCAGGGATAACAGGGTATTACCTTGACAACCTTGAACCTTTGAAGGAGCCGACACAGCATTCTCGCTTCCAGCTTTCCCACGTTCATAGCAACTCGGATCTCAGCTTGGGAAATTCCTTTCGTGCCTCTGCGCTCAACTGTGAATAATACCATGCTTGAACCCCACCACTGCACAGGGGTAGCTGCTCACAGCCCTTCCCTGCTCCCTTGCTAAGCACAGAGGTGGAACCGACAGACACAGAAAGCACTTCCCCTCTCTCCCAAGAAGTGCCCTGCTGCCAGGCTGAAGAGCACTTCCTGACCCCAAGAACACCGGCAGCTCCTTTTGGGTGTCTGCTCCCTGGCTCCCCACGCTAACACTGAGGGGAAAATGAGCAGTGGCTCTACTCAATCGAGGTGGACTTATAAAGTCTCTAACTTACTCACCTCCATCACTTTTAAGCAGCAGCGGCAGCAGCAAATTAGCCTTCCCTTATAAATGAACTTACTTAGATAAATGAAATGTACCCTTTCAAAAAGCATCAAAATAACTTTAAGGTAATTTTTTATTTTGGCTAGCCTTGAACATGTGATCATCCTGCCTCGGCTCCCAGGCACATGTCTCCATGTCCAGCTCCTGACAACTTTCTCTGAGAGTGCATTACCTATGTTCCTGTTGCTCCTTTTCTCCCAGTCAGGCCAGCAGGAAGTGGGGGAGGAAATGATGGCAGCAGCTCCACAGCAGAGAACGGGGCGGGGGGGGGGGAGGAATGTTGCTGCCTGGTTTTGGCATTGTGTAGTCTGCAGTTCCTGCCCACACCTATATTACTCAATATCAGCATACCTGCCTTACACAGGCCCTTTCTAAATGGCATTGAACACTCCAAGGAGGAACCTGGTTGGAAGCTGCTACATGAACTGTAGGCAGATGATGGCAAAGCTCTTTGTTCAGTAAACACTGGCCTTTCTTTTTTCAATGCATCCACACACTTGAGGCTGCCAGGTAAAAATCATCAGGATGCAGGCTTTCTACATCAGTCACACACAAAGACGACCATTAGAATGAGAGAGGTGGCAAAGATGTTTCCCTCTACACAATAGGCCATACGTGGGGACAAGAGGTCTACAGATAGCTGTTTCCAGACTGTGTTATGAGGAAGCAATCTGAGCCACCATGAGAACTGTCAATCACCGGCCTTCATAAAGTCTGAGAGATTAGTCAGCATGACCTGCTGGTGGGATCTAAGACAGAACCAATTCAGAAGGCAATCGTGGCTCAAGAGCCCCGTATAACAGAACAGCACAGAGGCTGAGTTCTGTCACCTCCCGCAGAACTGCTAGGCTCACTTCCTCCCTATAGCAGCACTAGGGAAGAGGCCTTGACTTTGTAGTAAGTTCATGTCCTCCACTGGGCTGTTCTAGAAACAACATGTGGTACCCACTTCATGTGTCTGCTTACCCTCTGCTTTTCTTCCTTCACGCAGGAGCACAGGCCCGCACCAGAAAACAGTAAATACAGCGCCTAATCTGAACTCACCAGTCTCAGAGCTATAAGTCTTGTCTTTAAAAATTGCCTGCTCTTGGGTGCTTTGTTATAGCATCAGAAAACAGAGTAGGACAAACAGCTAGCTAAGCCTCTCGAGTGCTCCTGTGGGGGGCACTACTGTAGGTAATCTATGCCTCTGCCTTTTATCCTGAGAATGTGCTCACACAGGTTTTATCCCAATGTGATGGTTAACTGTAAGTTGGTTTAATGGTCAGGTGCCGTTCTTGGAACGGGTTCATGAGGATATTTATTTCTGGAGGAAAGCGGCCTAAGAACAGTTAAAGAGTGACGTGGGGAAGATAGGCCCAAATATGGATGGATTCACATCATCAACCGGGGGTCAGAGGGAATGACACCTCACATTTTCTCTCTCCACTTCCTACCTGGGTCAGGAGCAGCTTCTTTGCTTGCTCTGGATCACGAAACCTATAGGTTCTCTAGGAGTTTCCCTGGGCCTTACACTTGTGCCAGCTATGGGAGGCCTCAATGTCCATGTCACATGAAAAAAAGCCCTAATAAATCCCCTCATAGACATATTACAACTCTAGAGAACTCTGTTGTTCTAACACACCCCATTTCACAGACAGGGAAGCAAGGCTCAAAGACCTAGCTAAAGCCATGTATCAAGGTAGCAGCAAGGCTCCACCGTGAACCTCACCCAAAGTGAAAGCTTGGAGAGAAGCTTCCTAGGCTTTATGCACTGGAGCCCACTTCCCACCTGGGGAGCACACTTCCCACTCTAGTGCTCACTCAATGGCAAGTGTGGGTGGAAAAGACTCACTGAGCTCGTAGGTCTGTGTGAGCATGTCCCGCTCAAACACGATGTCCACAGGAGGCACACCCTTAGAGATGACCTCCTCATCATCGTCGTCATCATGGTCATCCTCCATCTTCCGCTTGAACTCCTTCAGTAGCTTAAGGCACCGAACCATGACATCAGTCCCTAGGAACAGGGCACACATGAGCAGAGAGCGGGCCTAGGGCCTCATGGGAGAGCAGTGCATGGCATCCTGAAAGGTCTTAGCTGAACTGGTATCACAGCTAGCTCCTTCCCTACGTGGGATGTTTGCAAAGTCTAAAACTATGCATCTTGGGGCTGGAGAGATGGATTGGTGGCTAAGAGCACTTGCTGTTACAGAGGACCCGGTTTCAGTGCTCGTAACTGGCTGGATCTATTTCCAGTTGCAGGGGATCCAATGATCTTCTAGCCTTCAGGGCATCCACACACTTGTGGCACATGCCCACATGTACATTGATAAAAGTGAAAATTAATATAAATAAAACGAATATAAATTTAGGAAGAAAAACCAAAAATATTTGCAACTCTTAGGAACAAGACTATTGTGTCTTGTGACTTTAGATGAGGAAGAAATACATGTGTAAGAGGAGCAGGGAGGAGCCCTGCCAGCTTAGCTGAAGGACATGGCCTATCCCTTTGAACAACCTTCCAGGACCCACACTTGGGATCTGCTGAAGAAATAAAGAACAATTTTTCCTTAAAAGCCAACAAGAGGCCCTTCTGGGACTCTAAAGGTGGAAACTTAGTTTACAAAAATAACTCAAAAAGAAGCCAAGGCAAACAGGACTAACAGGTCTGAGCTAGCACCCTTTAAATACAGACAAGGTGGGGCCCAGCTGCAACAAAACCATGCTCTGGGCTCTGAGGGAAATTTCCATCTACATTAAGTTAGTTAACTGCAACCTAGCATATCAGGGGAAAAACCCACACTCATGTCCAACAGAAAAGACAACAAAGGAAAACTATGAAGATGTCTGGTACAGATATGTACCAACTCACTGATACTACTGACCCCGGGAGTCATTTCATACATAAGGGAACTGAAGAAGGAAGGGCTGGATCACCAGCCCAAGCTCCCAGAGGCTTGTCAACAACAGAAACAAGTCACCCTGTCAGATTTCTTCAAGTAAAAGGAGAGAGAGAGTTAAGGGTGAGCAGGGCAAATACCATGAGAGTTCAGAGTGTGACACCCACCCCAGTGAATGAACTCTGGGAAATTTATCACTAAGCCCTAGGACAACTGGAAGAGGTGACAGCCTTAGTGACCACAAAGAAGCCTGCCCGGAGTCCGGGAGCCAAAGGGAATGAGGGTGGGGTGATGAGAACCTGATTGGTGTAAGCCACCTCTGCCAGTCTTTGACTAAGTGGTATGGTCTCTCTGTGCCTCAGTTTCTTCAGCTGTAACAGAGACAAGAATAGTATCAGGGGAATCAGATGGCTCTGTGGATAAAGCCTAATGACTTGAGTTCAGCCTCAGATTTTGTGTTCCAAGTGGTAAAGCGTGCCTAAAGTGCCAGAGCACGGGAGGCTGTGGGAAGACAATCTCAAGTCCAGGGTCATTCTGGGCTTCAGTAGCAAGGCTTTTCCTCAGAGGGGGGAAAAAGTCTTTCTAATAGATCTCAGAGATGGTGCCTGCTCAGGAGACACTCACTACTGTTTCTCTCCTTACAACTGCCCTGGAAGGACATAGTTGCTAAGGGCCAAACATCACACTAAGCTGCTGGACTGTGAGGACCTTAATTCCTTAACAAATGTTCCACAAACATTTATTCTGTACTGTGTCCAGAAAAGACACAAACAGGACAGGTTTCCTCCACTATAAAAAGAGACACAATGAGTCTGGGCAAGGCAGCTGGCGGATACCAGGCTCGCTGTGACACAGCCCAGGTTGACAGCCTGGTTCTGCCCACCACAGGGAAGTCCCTTTCCTCTTTGAGCCTCAAGTTTCTCACCCATTAAGCAGAGCTAATTCTAAATGCATCTGGAATAGAAATGAGCTGGGGGCAGGGTAGAGCAGATGTCTATCCATTGCATGGGACAATGAAGGGTGAATTGGGTAGTCTGATCTGGCCATGGACAACAAGCACTCTAGGCAGAGAGAAGGTAAAGAAGCAATGACGATGGCACTGAACAGCAAGACGGGCTATAGAAGGAAGGCCTACAGACCAGGCAAGAGATGCTGTGTTTATTCTGCAAGCAAGATGTTTGGGGCTGTGGTGAATGTGGCCAGTGGCTTGATGGGAGGTCTGTAGGGAGTAGAATCTACAGGCAAGAGGGCCCTGGGGCCTCTCCTCAGCCCAGACCCAAGCCCAGGCCTAAGCCCAGGCCCCCACACTTCCCTTTCCTCGCGGTCCTACTTAGTCTCTCGACAGTGTAGCATAAAGGCCTGAGGAACTAGCCACTGCAGACTCTGCCACATGTTCTTTGCTCAAATCTCCACCCCAGCACCACCCTCCTGATGATCTGAACAGTAAGCATGCTTCCTAATTTCTTGGCACCACAACAAAGGAAAAAGAATAAAGAGGTCAGGAATACTAGAGCAAAAAACTTAGAACAGTGCTAGCGCATTATCTGATGTTCCTACCCCGGCAAGGCTGACCCCACAAATCCGACAATAATGGTACTGTCTGGCCTGGTTTCCTTTTTTTAAAGTCCAGGACAAGTGCAAAGACAGGAAACAAGAGTACTAGTAAGAACACACATGGGAGCTTAACAAAGGTTTAGAAGCTCTCGTTGTTTTTAGGCTAGAATTTCAGAGTTATCAAATAGCCAGTGCAAATGTCACCTCCCTGAATACTTGGTCTGAGTTGGCACCTGGCACAATTAGGCCCCCTCAGTCCTAAAATATAGAGAAATGTTGGGAAAGGTTGCTGAAGCTGCAATGCTGAACAAAACTGCACCAGAAAGCTGACATGACTCAGCTACCTTTCCTGTTACTAGGCTGGCCATCTGAAAGAGGCAGCTATGTGACCAAGAAGTATCCAGGCTCAATCTCCATCCCAAGCAATCAGCAGACTATACTCTAGGAAGGAACAAAGAGAAACTTCTCCTTCCACACACGGTCAGCCATTGGTTCAGAATGTGCTGTCTGCCGCCACCACTGCTGACACCAGCCCCCAAAGGTGGGACATGCCTGCACATTCCTGTTAGGAGAAGGGACAAGGGCTGCTGCAACAAGCCCTTGCCCCAGCACAAGTGACTCAAATCTCTGTGTTTACACCCTGGTAAAGGTCAGCCTTCACTCGAGTTTTCCCTTTAACAGTTTCTGCCATATTAAAATGTTCCTGCTTCTTTTATGTACATTAATTACTGACAGCAGTTACTTTTAATTCTTACAGCAGGTGCCCTTTAATCACTTTTATGTAAATAAAACTGCTTATTTTAACTGTTTTCATCATCTTCAAAACACACCACTAAAGTTCTAGCTTTTAAAACCTGGAAGAACCCCAGCATTTTACACTTGTCCTTTATTCTGTTTTCCTGGTTTTTATTCTTTTCCATTCTTCTTGGCTTTGACACTCTTTTAGGCATGTACATTTATTTTATTAAATTTTTGTATTTCTTTATATGGCTCATTTCTCTCGTAGGTTGTATATTTTAATACGACTATAATTTTGCTAATATCCCCCTTCTTAATGGTCATAATTTACTTCGTTGTACTCTGTTATATTTCTTGGTTTAGTTTTTACTTATTTCAAATTTAATAGCTTGAATGAGATTTAATTCACATATTGTACAATCTACCCCTTCAGTGGGTACAAGTCACAGCCAACTTTAGAAGATCCTTAATCATTTCCACTTCTCTACCCAAGCTGTCCCCTAAACATTACAACTTGCTTCCAGATTTTCCCACTGGACTTTCCTACAGGTAATCACATGGCAACGCCACCTTCGGGTGGGGACCACTCTTTCTCACTTGTCTTATTGACAACCAACTGACCCACCACAGGGGCTTCTTGTGGGCTGCTGACCCAGCTGACTAACCTACATGTCCTCTGTGTCGTGTCTGCAACCATCTGATTTCTGGTGCTGTGCAGCAGGGTTTGAAAGTAGAAGTGTGAGTTCTACTTTATTCCTTTCCCTTCCGGATTTCAGAATCAGACCCTCAGCTCCCATAAGCCTCCGCCAGACAGGGACTGAGGAGTCCTATAATGCTAGCTGCTTTAATTCGTGTCTGTTTACAGAGCCCTTACATTTCAGTGGTGGTTTACAGTGCTCACAGTAACTGATCTGTACAGATTCTGTTAACCGTGCTCCAAGTTTCTGCAAACAGAATGCTTTCTCAGCTCGATTTTCAGATTTTCCACCTTAAGTACAGAAACCCAGGAGTGGGGATGCATATTGAAGTTAGTGTCTGTGGAACTGTTTATTTCTTAAGAGTCACAAAGACAGCAGATCAGAAGGGGACTCAACCCCAATCCGTCAGAACTGGATGTGAGCTGACTACGCAGTCATCAGCCCAGTGCAGGCAGATGTGTTCGGCCAAGTGCTTCCAACTGTGATTCTATATATTGGAAGGGAATGCCAAGTTCACTTCTATCTCTTTCCTTCATTTCCTCAGCACAATTTAATAAACACACGGCAGCTAGTAAATACTTGAGGAAAATTATTTTTTAAATCAGAGCAGTTCAAAAGAACTGCTTTCATTACAAAGTTTATGTTACTTTTGCCAAATAGATATGTCAAAGTGTGAGTACAAAATATGCCAAAATTCAAACTCAGTTTAAGGGGTTTAAAAACAATTCACATATACACAGGCACACCTGTAAATTTATATGAAGTAATACATCATCTTTATTATTTAAACCTCTTTTTCCCATAATGCCTTGGAAGAAACATTTTATGTGTGTTTTTTTTTTTTAAACAGAACTGACAAAGCTCAAGGCTAACCCCTGAAAACTGTATTCAGCTCTTGTCTCCTGCACAAGAAAAGCAACTGTAGTGGTGATTAAATTAAATCCACAAAACAAGGACCAAGCACTTGGCTCCAAGATGATTCTCCCGGGCACTAGGAATACAAAGCAAAGGGTATGGCCAGCTCAGGACAAAGTACAAGGTCACTCAGACAAGCAAACAAACTAGGGCCGTGAGACCAATGGGAGGGCTGGTTGTGAGTCCAGGCTGCAAACCCAAACAACAGAGAT